ATCGCACATTTCGAATCAAGCACCAAATAGAAAAAGCATCAACGTCTTTTGGAGTCTACTGTTAACATGGCGGATTCATATTACCAGGTAAGCACTATTTTATACTAAATTTGATTTGTGTCATCGATATATCGCTAGCTTAGCATGCAAAGATGCCAAGTCAAATTTTGTAATTTTAAAGGAAAGGAAAAAACTTCTTATAGCGATTTTCGCAAATATCTGAATACAACATATTGCGCGTTTAAAGCAAAGCAAAAATTCAAGCGAATAAGGATTCGATCTCTATTAAAAGATTTCGTACTATTTTGGTTTTGTCGGATTTTCGGTTCCTCTTTTGGACCTAGCAAACTTGCCTTTCATTGAATATAAACTAGAAAAAAATAAAACAAGTACATCCTAATCATGTTAGCTTCTGCTTGTTAGATTAAAGTTGGCATGGATAGGATTTATGGCAACCCAACAGAAACATCCCCGTAGTGAACACGAAATCAATTCCTGCTCGTCTGCTACGACTGGTGGCATCCGAAAACTTACTTTCTGGAAGCAGAGCCGCCTTCTAGGAACGACAGAAGACATCTCTACGAAAATAGTTCCACACAACCATTATCTTTTCACACTCGTGTCCCGCCCTTGCCATCATCGGAGTTCAAACATCACCCACCGTAGACGAAGAGCTTGAGTTTTCTTGAGGTACTTGCCCTCTTAAACTACTCAGCTAATACTAATTCACTTTGGGTAGAGCTTGAAGATTTAATCTATTTAGGGAAGCCTTAGTAATGCCGCTACATCTTTCCACCGACGGTCGGCTCTACGTAACGACCCAGATTTATATGCATACATATATCTGCCCAAGTATGGTCATTCCAGAAGCATTCCCCAGTTCGGAGGGTGGCATTTTGATAGATTTGTCCATTGAGTGCTGCTAAAGGGTACTTTCTCGATCGGCATATTTCGATACAGACTGTAGTCAAGTATGTATTTTGTGTACATTGTCTGCGTGTGGTCATTGTGTACATGATGCCGAAAGCGCAAGTGAGCTGTTTTAAATAGCCTCAATAAACAAGCTCTCTTCTTTTAAGACTGTACCACCCAATCCCTTGCGAATCGCAGCAGGATATCAGAAAAACTGGACTTTGACATGAAAAACTCTAAAATGAATATCCTATATGAAGCATTTTATTCTATTTGGTAATACCAATTCGTAATTAGTTGTGTTGAATTAAAAAAATCTCTCGTGTTTCTGCTTGGAAATCCAAATATCTTACTAAATATAAACTTTATGAGGATTGCCAGCTCATGAAAGCCATACATTCAATTAAAGTTTTCAAAAAATTTACAAATGTCAGTGAATACTCTGCAATTTGGCGAACATTGAAACCTGCTTTTTTAATTTCATTTATTTTTACATATATCGCTAGTGATAATGGCCGAGAGTAGGTTGTTTGTGGGCATGTTGAGTAGGTGAGGAGCAGGTTTTGTACGCTTAGCAGTGGTAAGAGAGAAATTTTTTGAGCTTTGCTGCTTAATCACTTTGCTGACTTTTTTCGCGCTTTGTTTCCCTCATTTAATTTTGCCTTGCGTGCTTCACACCGCTTCACTAAGCTCTGATCAAATCCGATATTCTTTCAGCGGTCAATGCCTGGCTCGTTGCGACTACTGCTGGCTGGTTTGCCTCGTTTTTCGGTTTTCAAGTTTAAGCGATTTTATTTAAAAATCGGAAACTTCAATTGCCATGACCTCAACTCGCTGTTGTGCTATATATACCCTTGTATACCCTAATTACATTTAAGTTTAATATTTATTCCATAATACTTTCTTAAGTATTTTTTATTTGGAATTTTAGTAGGTCAGATTGACATTTAGATTCCATAGGATTTTTAATCTCTAAATCAGCTCTGATAAGTAATGATATGTAAACACATACCCAAATTGGGATGTAACAGTATGTAAAATCTTTTCGCTGCATATGATTACGGTGTTTTTGCGAAAACTGGTATTCAAACTGTAATCAAAATATTTAGCACACCAGCTTGTTGTGTCCCCTATTCCAATGTCGCAGTACACCGGTCGCATTACATTCAAATACTACTTCTGGCAACATCGAAAATTGGAACAAAGTCATAAATGTTGCGGTTAACTAACGACAAGTTGCAACTTTTTTATTTCTTACGTTGTACTACGTAATTCTAGTTAGCATGCATGTATGTGTGTGTATGTATGTTTTTTGCGGGAAACGGAAGCGCAAAGTGTGAAGAAAATACATACAATTACAAGAAAAAAAGTGCAAGTTTACAAAATCCGAATCAAATCTACTTTCATGCAGGGCATTTACTTACCTTTCCAACAAATTCCTAGAAGTTTGTAATTACAATTGAAATTGCGAAATTATCGGCCATCACTTTCACTGCACAGCGGCCGTTCAGCTGTGTGAGTGCACACCTCTGAGTGAAGTTAGAGGCAAAGCCAGAGGAAGTGGCACTTGCAGCCGCTGTAGGTTAAAAGTCAGACTGTGTAATAGTTAGGGCACGAATAGATCGTCATACGTGCCACATACAAACATAGTACATACATACCACATACAAACAAAAAAAAAACGTTGCAGCAACTGTTACTGTCCAGATGC